AAATCACTCTCAACAAAAGATTCCCCCAGGCACTTCCAAGCCATTGAATGCTAATCAAGGTGATCAGCTGAAACATTCACACCTAGCCCCAGCAGACAAAAGTCCTTTGTCTCTCCCTGGTCATTCCACAGATATATAAACCCAATTTTTCTACTTTCAACAGACCTCACTACCTCTGAGGATGCTTGCCATAGATGCAGGCGAAACGTCAGGAGAAAAATGCCTCTAGAACATGGCCATATAGCCCGGAAAAACAACAACATCAAACATCTCAGAGATCTCACAAAATTTCACATCTGCTGTACATGGATGACCTGAAGCTGTATGGGAAAACCGAAACTGAAATCCAGTTTCTGACTAACACTGTCCAAATCTTTAGCACGAATATCAACATGGAATTTGGTTTGGACAAATGTTTGACAGTGGCACTGAAGAATGGAAAAATCATTGAAAGTGAGGGCATAAATATGCCCAATGGCCAAGCAATAAAAGAGTCACCAGCCAGAGGCCTATAATATATCTGGGCATACTAATAATAATAATTATTATTATTATTATTATTATTATTATTATTATTAAACTTTATTTGTACCCCGCTATCATCTCCCGAAGGACTCGATGCGGCTTACAAAGGCCAAGGCCTCAATACACAACATAACAATACACCTAAAGCAAAATTAAACAATTAAAGCAATATTAAAACAACACAACAACAGCAGTAAACAATACACCAAAACACAATAAAACTGGGCCGGTCAGAGTAAAGGGTACAGGATTAAAAGTGCTGATGTGACAGGTGATGTGTAAGGATTATAAGGCAAGTGCAGTGTGCAGTAATCTTAATTCTAATAAAGTGCTTCTGGGACTTGGTATTGGAGATCTCCTATTCGGCGAATGCACATCGGAACAGCCAGGTCTTCAAGTTCTTTCTGAAGACTGCCAATGTAGGGGCCTGTCTAAGATCTTTTGGGAAGGTGTTCCAGAGTCGGGGGGCCACCACGGAAAAGGCCCTGTCTCGTGTCCCCACCAAACATGCTTGCGACGCAGGCGGGATCACGAGCAGCGCCTCTCCAGATGAACGAAGTGAACGCGTGGGTTCGTAAACGGAGATACGGTCACGCAGGTATGCTGGTCCCAAACTGTTCAGGGCTTTGTAGGTAAACACCTGCACCTTAAATTGGGCTCGGAAAATAATAATAATCTTTATTTATACCTCACTACCATCTCCCGAGGGACTCAGTGCGGCTTACATGAGGCCGACCCCACAATACATCAATGATAAAGCAATAACAACAATTAATACAAACAATAAAATAAAACTCATAACAAAAAATAAACAATAAACAATAGCAATAACACAATGTTTAAAATCTATGGCTGGGCCAAATGTAATAATTAAAATTAAGAATAGTGGTGAGCATGAAAAGATGAAATATGAACTAGGATAGAGTTTTCAGAGAGGGATGGAGCATGCAGACATTCCTAGATCAACAATAAAGTGCATTTCGAGGACATATTGCTGGGAGTTTCCTTATTCTGGGAAGGCACACTGGAACAACCACGTTTTCAGGCTCCCCCTAAAGACTGCCAGGGTTGGGGCATGCCTGATGTCCTTGGGGAGTGAGTTCCAGAGTTGAGGGGCCACCACCGAAAAAGCCCTCTCCCTCATCCCCACCAATCGCACCTGCGATAGAAGTGGGAGCGTGAGAAGAGCTTCTCCAGATGATCAAAGAGATCGTGTGGGTTCATATACAGAGATGCGGTCACGCAGGTAGGCGGGTCCCAAACCATTCAGGGCTTTGTAGGTAAGAACCTGCACCTTGAATTGGGTCTGGTAGATGAATGGCAGCCAGTGGAGCTCCTTGAACAGGAGGGATGACCGCTCCCTGTAAGGAGCCCCAGTTAACAACCTGGCTGCCGCCCGTTGGATCATCTGAAATTTCCGGGCCATTTTCAAGGGCAGCCCCACGTAGAGTGCATTGCAGTAGTCCAGTCTAGAGGTGACTAAGGCGTGGACCACCCTGGCCAGATCCGCCTTCCCGAGGTATGGTCGCAGTTGGCGCACGAGTCTTAATTGTGCAAAGGCCCTCCCGGCCACCACCAACGCCTGAGCCTCAAACGTAAGTGAAGAATCCAGGAGGACCCCCAAACTGCGGACCTGTGACTTCAGGGGGAGTGCAACCCCGTCCAGCACAGGTTGCCACCCTATACCCCGGTCTGGTTTACGATCGACCAGGAGGACCTCTGTCTTGTCGGGATTAATCTTCAGCTTGTTCGTCCTCATCCAGACACCCACAGCGGTCAGGCACTCGTCTAGCGTGATCCTGGATTCATCGTTGAGCCTGGATCTCCAGGTCTCAGCGGTGACCAGGGAGCATTTGCACAGCTCAGGCTCGTGCGCCAGCTGCGCCCGTACCTTGGGAAGTCTGACTTGGCCACGGTAGTACACGCTCTGGTCACATCCCGCCTTGACTACTGCAACGCTCTCTACGTGGGGCTGCCCTTGAAGACGGCCCGGAAGCTCCAGCTAGTCCAGCGCGTGGCAGCCATGTTACTAACAGGAGCGGGACGCAGGGAGCATACAACGCCCTTGCTGTACCAGCTCCACTGGCTGCCGATTTGCTACCGGGCCCAATTCAAGGTGCTGGTGTTGGCCTACAAAGCCCTAAACGGTTCCGGCCCAAAATACCTGTCTGACCGCATCTCGGCCTATGAGCCCACGAGGACTTTGAGATCGTCCGGGGAGGCCCTTCTCTCGATCCCGCCTGCCTCACAGGCACGCCTGGCGGGGACTAGGGACAGGGCCTTCTCGGTGGTGGCCCCCCGGCTGTGGAACACCCTCCCTGTGGACATCAGACTGGCGCCCTCCCTCATGACATTCCGCAAGAGACTAAAGACGTGGTTGTTTGAGAAGGCGTTTGAGTAAGTGCTGCAACAATTGGCAATGACGATTGGAACGGAACATGGATAACGAGATTTGGATTGTGATTCAATGATGAGACGTTGCGAATGATTTAGTATAACTGTATTATTGATAGTGTCGTTGTTTACTGTTGATGTGATATTGCTTATGTTGTAAATTGTACCTGGTTTTATATGTTGTACACCGCCGTGAGTCGCCCTAGGGCTGAGAACGGCGGTCTACAAGTGCAGTAAATAAATAAATAAATAAATAAATTATTATACAGCTGAGAGGCAAAATACGTTAATGGTTATGACAGAGCAGTGTTTCTCAACCTTCCTAATGCCACGACCCCTTAATACAGTTCCTCATGTTGTGGTGACCCCCAACCATAAAATTGTTCCCGTTGTTACTTCATAACTGTAATTTTTCTACTGTTATGAATCGTAATGTAAATATCTGATATGCAGGATGTAGTTTCATTCATTGGACCAAATTTGGAATAATTGTGGAAAGAAAGAAAGGTAGAGAAGTAAGGAAGGAGAGAAAGAGGGAAAGAAGGAGGGAAAGAAGGAGGGAAGGAAGAGAAGGAAAAGAAAAGAAGGGTAGAGAATGAAGAAGGAGAGAAGGAGGGAGAGAAAGAGGAAAGAAAAGGGAAAGAAGGGGAAAGGGAAGAAGAGAAAGAAGGAAAGAAAGAAGGAGAGAAGGAGGAGGGAAGAGAAGAAAGAAGGAGGAAGGAGGAAAGAATGAAAGAAAGAAGGGTAGAGAAGCAAGGAAGAGAGAAGGAGGGAAAGAAGGAAGGAAAGAAGAGGAAGAGAAAAGGAAGGAAGAAGGAAGGGAAGGAAGGAAAAGGGAGAGAAGAGGAAAGAAGAGAAAGAAGGAGGGAAGAAGAGAAGGAAAGAAAGAAGTAGAGAAGGAAGGAAGGATGGAGATAACTATTGAAAATCATAACTTAAATTATTGAATTGAGTGAAGAAGGGTTAAAAAATCATTTGTATAGAAGTAATGCCTGATAGGCATGCAATGGAGAGTGAATATGTATATTAGAGTAATAAATGTATGTAATGATGAAAGAAGTAAAGAATAATGGTACTGACTTACTTGCTTTATACTCATGGCTTGCTATACAATATTTACTACTAGTCATAATTATGAATGAGTTGCGGTCGATGAATGAAGAAATATTTTAGCATATTAAGTAATTAGATCAGGATTTTCGTATAAAGCTGTAAATCATGAGTTACCGTTATATAACGACTACTAAAGAAGGCTCATACATCAAGTGAACGGAAGGAGAGAATGGGGCGAGACATCTATGGAAGAAGAGGTAGATAATTAAGGAATGATACGAAGAAAGAGGGAAAGGAAGGAAGAGAAGGAAGAAAAGAAAGGTAGAGAAGGAAGGAAGGAGAGAAAGGAAATAAAAAAAGTGAAAGAGGGAAGGAAGGAAAGAAAAAAGAAAGAGAGAAAGAGGAAGGGAAGGAAGGAAGGAAAGAGACAAGGAAGGATGGAACCAAAGAGGAAAGGAAGCTAGAAAAGAAACAGCTAGAGAAGGAAGAAAGAAGAAGGGAAAGCAAAAGAGGGAAGGAAGGAAAGAGGGAGGGAAGGAAGGAGAGAAAGAAAGAAGGAGAGAAAGGGGGAGGGAAGGTTGGCCACAGCAACGCGTGGCGGGTACAGCTAGTAGTCAATATCTCGGCAAAAGAAAAGTAAACCATTGACAGAAAATGACGCGAAGTACAGTTCTCTTTAGGTACGTCTCCTGGTTCTCTTTTCAGGTGTAGTTTTTGTTTCTCAAATGTAAAGGAAATACATCATATATACCTATTCCTTTGACATTATTAAAAATACTATTACAATAAAACATTCACGGAATTCTACTTTTCCTCAAAAATCTACATCACTTGGCATTGTCGAACGCTACAACTGCCATTGTGTTTTCACAAGACACATGAACTCTTGCTTAGACCATTGTTCTCAGTGTTAAGGCATTGAGAACTTTCAAGTGTGGCTTGTAAAGGATCAAAACAGACACGCAAGCAACCTGCTGATTGATACTGCTTCTAGAGAAACAGGCTCTCCTCTGCAAAAGAAGGCTTACCTGCACAAGGAAGATGATGAGGAAGTAAAAGTTGGCGATTCTTCGAAACTGTTCAAAGAGATTCTTTGGGAGGAAATTCCAGATGGTGTACTGTGGGACAGAAGCAGAGAGTGTTTTATAGCAGGAATTTAGGGGTCTTTGCCAGGAGGTAGAGACCAATTAGACTCATCAAAGAGTTCTTTTTCCCTGGCGAGACAGAGAAGCACCCAATCTCCGATTTTTCCCAAAAAAAGGTCTCACCAAATTGAAGGAAGTGCCACCGAGGTTTATTAGCGATTCAGCTGAAAAGGATGCAGAGCGGCAATCATTCACCAAGCAGAGCATGAGAAATTACATCAATACAGCCATTTTTATAGGAAATACAGAGTTGTGAGTTTTAAAATTCCCACACACCCCTCCCACCCAGCTCAAAGTGGATTGGCTGACGCGCAAACAGCTGGGAGGAGGCTTGGCCGTCCCCCATGCATCAGGGCCAATCACAGGGCTTTCGCAGGGTGCCAGAGCCTATCAGGAGGCTCCTGCTGCCTTGACGCTCCAGCGAATCAGAAGGGAGGGAGGCGGGATGAAGGGAGACAATGCATTCTAGAGTGGATTATGACAAGATTGTCTCTGAGGCTTAGCGAAATCCGGGTGGGGGTCTGCCAGCCAAGCCATTCTATTGTGTTCATGAGTGATGGCAATAAACATATGTTAAAGAAATCCGAGTTTTCCTGTCGCCATCAGATATGACACAAAGGGCAAGACTTGGGTGGAAGTTCTTTGTGGAGAAGTTTGAAAGAAAAACGGCTTGGAGGAAAAGAGGACTTTCCTAAAGTCATATTCCCCCCATTGTTATATGATTAAAAAGTCTGCCAAACAGAAATCCTAACGGTGGTCCAACTCCGAAGTCAAAAGGATTTCCTTTACTATTGTCTATGCAAAGAATGTCCAAAGATAAGGGTCTTTTCATGATCGCTGATTGCTTTTCCAGAGGTAGGGCAGCTTCCTTGTAGATTTCCCCCAAGGAGATGGGAAGGGGCAAAAGGGTCAGGGCCATGTCAAATACATGAAGAGAAATATGGAAATACAGGAGAAAATATGAAAATATAGAAATCATAACACAGAGAGTAAACCCAACTACCTTCCCCCATTGTCCATAGTTCATATTATTCATAGGAAGGTCCATAAAGGGAAATATATCCATGAGAGGGAAAGAGAGTCCCTTGTTTGTGAGATGGAGGACCATCAGGAGCCTAGGTGTGCCTCAGATGGAAAAATTCAAATACTTTTGTGGTATGATTTTCAGTAATAAATTGCTTACTTTCTGCTGTAAACATATGAAAATAGAGCAGAAAGCCTTGATTAAAGGATGCACACCAAACTGACCAAGGCTTAACCCTTATTATCCAGTCTGGCGTCCTTGCCCTTAGCAAAACTATGTTACTATCTCTTATTGGGGGGGGGGAGGGGTCATGTTTGACTTCAAGAGGACGGTTTTTGCCTTGATGACAACCAGCAAGGACTTCTTCTGAGCATTATAAACCCCAAGCTGCTCACAACCATAGCTATAGTAAATTGTTCTCAAAGTGCTTTTGAAATAGGACAAGGCCAATTCCATTCCTTTTGTATCTCCTCCTTGGAACCACCTCGGAGATCAAGATCATCTGGAGAGGCCCTACTCTCGATCACGCCTCCTTCGCAGGCACGACTGGTGGGGATGAGAGACAGGGCCCTCTCAGTGGTGGCCCCATGTCTATGGAACTCCTTCCCTGTCTTTGGGATTAAGCCTTTGGAGATTAACTATAGTGCAATAACAGCTATGGAATATGTGCAATGATTGTTGGAATGGACCCGGATTGTTGAATGTCGTTGTTGTTGTTCGGGGTAATGGTGGCAGGATATAAGAATGTTGTTGTTATTGTTTGGGGAGATGGTGGCGGGATATAAGAATGTTGTTGTTTGGGGAGATGGTGACAAGATATAACAATGTTGTGGTTGTTGTTTGGGGAGATGGTGGTGGGATATAAGAATGTTGTTGTTGTTGTTTGGGGAGATAGTGGCAGGATATAAGAATGTTGGCACCGGGATTGTGGCGCAGCTGGCTGATCACTCTGACCAAAAGGTCATGAGTTCGAAGCCAGCCAGGGTTGGAGTGGGTTTCCAACCAATTGTGTGTAGCCTGTTGTCGACCTTTGCAACCCAAAAGACAGTTGCATCTGTCAAATAGGAAAATAAAGTACCACCTTAAAGTGTGGGGAGGCTAAATTAACTGATTTAAGAGGCCATAAAGAAGACTCCAGCAAAGCATTCCAGCGGGGAAGCATGCGGGGAATGCGGAAGTGCTTCATCAGCGTTGCAGATGGACGATGAAAGCGACAGCTCCCCTTGCGGCCAGAAAAAGTTAAATAGCCTCTGTGTATGTCTGCATATGTTTGTATGTCAAAAATTGGCACTGAATGTTTGCCATATATGTGTACACTGTAATCCGCCCTGAGTCCCCTGCAGGGTGAGAAGCTGTAAATTAATAAATAAATATTATTGTTGTTGTTTGGGGAGATTTTTTTTGTCGTGACAAGAGCGACTTGAAAAACTGCAAGTCGCTTCTGGTGTGAGAGAACTGACCATCTGCAAGGACATTGCCCAGGGAACGCTCAGATGTTTTGATGTTTTTACCAACCTTGTGGGAGGCTTCTCTCATTTCCCCGCATGAGGAGCTGGAGCTGATAGAGGGAGCTCATCTGCGCTCTCCCCGGATTTCAACCTAGGACCTGTCGGTCTTCAGTCCTGCCAGCACAGGGGTGCTACGAGATGATGGCGGAATATAAGAATGTTGTTGTTGTCGTTTGGGGAGATGGTGGCGGAATATAAGAATGTTGTTGTTGTTGTTGTTGTTTGGGGAGATGGTGGCGGGATAGAAGAATGTTGTTGTCTGGGGAGATGGTGGCAGGATATAAGAATGTTGTTGTTGATTTTTGGGGAGATGGTGGCGAGATATAAAAATGTTGTTGTTGTTGTTGTTGTTGTTATTTGGGGAGATGGTGGCGGGATAGAAGAATGTTGTTGTCTGGGGAGATGGTGGCAGGATATAAGAATGTTGTTGTTTGGGGAGATGGTGGTGGGATATAAGAACGTTGTTGTTTGGGGAGATGGTGGTGGGATATAAGATAAGAATGTTGTTGTTCGGGGAGATGGTGGCGGGATATAAGAATGCTTTTGTTTGGGGACATGGTGGCGGGATATAAAAATGTTGTTGTGGTTGTTGTTTGGGGAGATGGTGGCAGGATATAAGAATGTTGTTGTTGTTTAGGGAGATTTTTTTTGTCGTGTCAAGAGCGACTTGAAAAACTGCAAGTCGCTTCTGGTGTGAGAGAACTGACCGTTTGCAAGGACGTTGCCCAGGGGACGCTTGGATGTTTTGATGTTTTAACCATCCTTGTGGGAGGCTTCTCTCATGTCCCCGCATGAGGAGCTGGAGCTGATAGAGGGAGCTCATCTGCACTCTCCCCGGATTTCAACCTGGGACCTGTCGGTCTTCAGTCCTGCCGGCACAGGGGTTTAACCCACTGTGCCACGAGATGATGGCAGGACATAAGAATGTTGTTGTTGCTGCTGCTGTTTGGGGAGATGGTGGTGGCATATAAGAATGTTGTTGTTCGGGGAGATGGTGGTGGGATATAAGAATGTTCAGGTCTTGTGGGTTTTTTCGGGCTATATGGCCATGTTCTAGAGGCATTTCTCCTGACGTTTCACCTGCATCTATGGCAAGCATCCTCAGAGGTGAATGTTGTTGTTTGGGGAGATGATGGCGGGATGTAAAGTTGTTGTTCTTGTTATTGTTGTTATATTAGAGGAAAACACTATTGCAACCATTTGCCTTAGGACTTAATACTGAACTGTATTCCTGTGTTGCAAAATGGGGTTGGTTTGGATGTCCCTTGGAATCTTTTCCAACTGTGTGAAACCAAGACCATGTAAGCAGCATCAGAGCGAGCAGGTAAACAAAAGCATGGGAGTTCACCTTGTATCACATCAACCCACAAGACACTTGGCAGAACACAGGAAAGAGATTTTCCCCAGCACATGAAGGCAAGGTTAATGCACACCACTTGATGTGCAGAATCCACTTTAGGCTGACAACGAAAAGAAGCTGATGTTTTGTTTTGCAGGATTCCCCTCTGCCCACCACCTGTTTCCCTGCCTTAGAAAAACCCAAGTCTTTTGTTCTGCATTCACTGCTCAACACAATGAGACTGGACTTCCCGGTCGGAGCGGCAGAAGAAGAGAATAAAAGACTCAAGTGGGACAGCTCACACAGTTGCTTAGAAACAAATACACAGACTAATGCACAAATGACGTGCACACCGAAAGTGAAGTTTCGTGCATATTGTCATTTCTACTAGGGTCCCAAATACTGTTGTACAATGGCAAATGCTTGGGGATAAACATGATGTACGGAGGCTTGTCATGGAATATGATGCATGGTTTGAATGGAATTGAGACAATGGCTCTTTAAGTTAAGGAAACGTTTACAAGGCTCCTTACGTTTACCAACATCAATTAGGAAGAGTCAACATCTGTCCGGAACTGGGGAGCCAGGATATTTCAGGATGGAAAACCATCTATCATTCATTTGCAACTTTGGAACAACATCAGCAAGAAATATTGCTATATAAATTGCAAATGCCTGGCAATAAATAATAATAATAATAATAATAATAATAATAATAATAATAATAATGGCTTCAAACTACAAGAGAGGAGATTCCATCTGAACACGAGGAAGAACTTCCTGACTGTGAGAGCCGTTCAGCAGTGGAACTCTCTGCCCCAGAGTGTGGTGGAGGCTTCTTCTTTGGAAGCTTTTAAACAGAGGCTGGATGGCCATCTGTCAGGGGTGATTTGAATGCAATATTCTTGCTTCTTGGCCGAATAGGGTTGGACTGGATGGCCCATGAGGTCTCTTCCAACTCTTTGATTCTATGATTCTATGATTCTACGAAAATGAACAAAGTTGTGAGGTCTGACCTCACAACCTCTGAGGATACCTGCCTCAGATGCAGGTGAAACATCAGGAGAGAATGCTTCTGGGACATGGCCATACAGCCCGGAAAACACACAACAATCCAGTGATTCCGGCCATGAATGCCTTCGACAATACATAGAATGAACAGACCTTGGATGAGACGATCTGGTTCGAGCAGAATTTCTGGGGAATGCAAGCATCCGTTTCGGAAACAGAGCGATGGCCAACAAGGATCGTCCGGGTCCCGACGCGCTTCTCTTCGCCGACAAACTACAAAATAAAGAAGAAGGCAAAACTTACACGACTGCTGTTGGGACGTCTTGGAGGCTGGAAACAATCAAAAGTTTATAGATGAAGAGTTCGGCTTCACACACACAATTCCCCTGAAACTTTTGGGAGGCGCTCGCAACGATATCCTGGAAAAGGCAAGCGGAAACATGGGACTCTACGATTTTACAAACATTACATCGATATTCCAACTCCCAAGCTGCCTTAAGCAGCCCTGAATGGAAAGAATGCATCTACAGTACTAATTATATCATGCCAACCACAAGCAGTAATTATTGCTTTGCCAGAGAACAAGACTTTGCAAGTCGCACAGCTTATATTTTAGCCGTTGCTTAAATTGCATCGGTATGCCATGAAGCTGTGCACACGTCTACATAGGGACCACCAAACGCAGCATTGCCCAAACACGCATTGAGGAACATGAAAGGCACTACAGACTAATTCAACCAGAGAAGTCAGCCATAACAGAGCACCTGATGAACCAACCTGGACACAGCATGTTATTTGAGAACACGGAAATGCTGGACTGCTCTCACAACAACAACAACAACAACACCTTTATTTATACCCCGCTACCATCTCCCCAAGGGACTCGGTGTGGCTTACATGAGGCCGAGCCCAAGTACAACAACAGTAAAAGCAATAAGAAAAACTATCAATACAACAGTTAAAATAAATCTCATAATCCAATGTAGGACTTACCTACAAAGCTCTAAACAGTTTGGGACCCGCCTACCTGCATGACCGCATCTCCGTATATGAACCCATACGATCTCTTCGATCATCTGGAGAGGCCCTGCTCACGATCCCACCTGCGTCGCAAGCGCGTTTGGTGGGGACGAGAGACAGGGCCTTCTCTGTGGTAGCTCCTTACAGGGAGAGGTCAACCCTCCTGTTTAAGGAGCTCCATTGGCTGCCGTTCATTTTCCAGTCCCAATTCAAGGTGCAGGTGCTCACCTACAAAGCCCTAAACGCCTACCTGCGTAACCGCATCTCCGTATATGAACCCACACGATCTCTCCGATCATCTGGAGAGGCCCTGCTCACGATCCCACCTGCGTCGCAAGCGCGTTTGGTGGGGACAAGGGACAGGGCCTTCTCCGTGGTGGCCCCCCGACTCTGGAACTCTCTCCCCAAGGACATCAGACAAGCCCCAACGTTGGCAGTCTTTAGGAAGAGCTTGAAGACGTGGTTGTTCCAGTGTGCCTTCCCAGAATAGGAAACTCCAAGCATCATGTCCCAAATGCACTTTACTAGAGATTTAAGATTGTCTGCACCTATATCCAAAAACCTATCCATTTCACCTGTCATGTCCAGCATTTTTAATATTTTTAATCATTACATTTGGCCCGGCCTTAGTTTTAAATGCGTCGTGGTGTTATTGTCTAATGTTTATTGCTATTGTTTCAATGTTTATTGCTTGTTTTATGAGTTTTATTTATTGTTGTATTTGTTATGCTGTTGTTTTATTGATGTGTTGGGCCTCAGCCTCTTGTAAGCCGCACCAAGTCCTTCGGGAGATGTTAGCGGGGTATAAATAAAGGATTATTATTATTATTATTATTATTATCTACAAGCATGTGGACAATTTCAACAGAAACTGAAAATGAACCAAATCTGGCTACCAGTACTAAAAACTATAAAATCAGGACAGTAAATAAAGAGCAACACTAAAAAAAAAAAAAGAGAATTACAAACAGGAAACAACCAGGGCCTAACACCTTCCAACAAAGGATTCCCTCAGGCAGGAAGGAGCCAGGCTTTGAAGCTGCAAGGTCATTCAATGGTAATCAAGGTGATAAATTGCAACATTCACACTTGCCTCAGGCAGAAAGGAGGAAAACCATGGAAATAAACAAAATCTGTCTACCAGTATTAAAAAACAAACTTTGAAGCTGCAAGGCCATTAAATGACCAATTGCAACATTCAAACAGACAAGAGTTCTTTCTCTCACCCTGGACCTTCCACAATTATATAAACCTCACTTGTCTAGTTTCCAAAAGACCTCACAACCCCTGAGGTTGCCTGCCAGAGATGTGGGCGAAACGTCAGGAGAGAATGCTTCTGGAAAATGGCCAGTCAGCCTTGAAAACTCAGAACAACCCAGTGATTTCAGCCATTAAAGTCTTCAACAACATACATGCATACATACATACGCTCATACATATTTCAACTCCCCCCTGCCATATCATCTCCACATTCACCCAACTTCCATGAACGACGATTTAAATATAACCAACCAACCAACGAACATCTAAATTAGCTGTCCAATTACAGGCAAACATTGCCAACTACAGCAGGCTCTTGGTGAACTGGAACTCTCAAGCAACCGGCAAATAAAACCAAAGAAACAGACAAGAGTTCTTGCTGCTACCCTGGACATTATTCTACAGGTATGTAAACCCCACTTGCCTAGTTTCCAACAAACCTCAGAACCTTTGAGGATGCCTGCCATAGATGTGGGTGAAATGTCAGGAGAGAATGCTTCTGGAACATGGCCATGCAGCCCGGAAAACTCACAACAACCCAGTGCATCCAAGTTATTATTATTTTTAATTTACAGCATATGCATCCTGCCTCTTCCAACCATGGGGAACCACAAGGCAGCTAACGGCTGTCTAGAACAAGCCATCCAGACAATATAAAATAACAAAAACAACACCACAAATTCCTCAATGTCAACATTCACAAAAGGCAGTAGAACAACGGCAGAAATAACACAACCATTATTGATCTGGTGAACTTTGTGGAACAATCGGAAAGCAACGACGTTTGGAGAGAAATGGCTTTGATCCACAGGACTCAAAACCACACACAGAAAGTCCAACTTTGAACTTCCAACACCACAAATGCTTCAACATCAACATTCACAAAAGGCAGTAGAACAACGGCAAAAGCAAGCGAACAATTATTGATCTGGTGAGCTTTGTGGAACAAACAGAAAGCAACGATATTTGGAGACAAATCGCTTTGATCCACAGGACTCTAAACCAAGCACAGAAAGTCCAACTTTGAACTTCCAACACCACAAATGCCTCAACAGCAACATTCACAAAAGGCAGTAGAACAATGGCAAAAGCAAGAGAACAATTATTGATCTGGTGAGCTTCATGGAACAAATGGAAAGCAACGATGTGTGGAGACAGTTGGCTTTCATCCATAGGAATAGAAACCACACACAGAAAGTCCGACTTTGAACTTCCAACACCACAAATGCCTCAACAGCAACATTCACAAAAGGCAGTACAACAACGGCAAAAGCAAGAGAACAATTATTGATCTGGTGAGCTTTGTGGAACAATTGGAAAGCAACGACGTTTGGACACAAATGGCTTTGATCCACAGGACTCAAAACCACACACAGAAAGTCCAACTTTAAACTTCCAACACCATAAATGCCTCAACATCAACATTCACAAAAGGCAGTAGAACAACAGCAAAAGCAAGAGAACAATTATTGATCTGGTAAGCCTTGTGGAACAATCGGAAAGCAACGAAGTTTGGAGACAAAAGGCTTTGATCCACAGGGCTCAAAACCATGCACACAAAGTCCAACTTTGAACTTCCAACACCACAAATGCCTCAACATCAACATTCACAAAAGGCAAAAGCAAGAGAACAATTATTGATCTGGTGAGCTTTGTGGAACAATCGGAAAGKAACGACGTTTGGAGACAAATGGCTTTGATCCACAGGACTCAAAACCACACACAGAAAGTCCGACTTTGAACTTCCAACACCACAAATGCCTCAACATCAACATTCACAAAAGGCAAAAGCAAGAGAACAATTATTGATCTGGTGAGCTTTGTGGAGCAAATGGAAAGCAACAATGTTTYGAGACAATTGGAATCAAAACCACAAACTTGAAGGCCAACTTTGAACTTCCAACATGTGTTGGAAATGGTAYAGATCCCATCCACAAGTAAGGATGTCCGTCCCTTCTACAAACAGGTTTTCCCAACGGTTCTAAGGAAAACTTGGAAACTTATCCTCCAAGACAGCTTTTCACCAGTAGCTCCAACAAAATGTTCTCTCTCAGAGACGCCACCAATGTGCACAAACTCCAGAATTCTCCACTATATGCTGGAATTGCATTAGACCTTCAGGGATTCCGTCACAGTTGAGCCAAAATGGAATGTGTTCCCAAAAAGGTCATAAAAAGTGAGCATATGTAACCATAACCACCCCATAAACCGACAAAAACGTACGGAATCAGATTCACAGGCCATCCCATCGGACACGTCGTCTCCGGCGAAAGAGGATTCAAAAGAATACGCCAGAACTCTTAAGTTATTTTTTTGCAGTGACCTACTTAACTCAACTAGTTTGAGATTGGCCAATTCTTCTAAGCAGTGAGTTTATATGCCTTCTCGCGCGCGCACATCTCTGCATCTCCGGTATGGAAAAAGTTTCTCACAAACCAAGAAATTAGGAAGGATTTCTTTTTCCTTCTCCATCCAAACAGCTTGGGTGGGAGTGGCGATACGTTAAAAATAGTTCTCATGTTTCAGGAGGGACGCATCTATCATTGCCTAAAACTGGAAACAGAATGGACCCTGCAGTATCCGATCAGGAGGGTTTCCACACAAAGACCTTGAAGTTGTGTGCCAAGTCTTGATATCTTAGGTAAGTTGACAGTCCTTTTTCCTTCCCCTCGAACTCCTTTTGAACTTGGGTGGGACTGCTGACTGGAAAATCCTTCCAAGATCTCTCCATAGTCCCCTGATATTTCTCACCCTCCTACTATGGAAATCTTGCCTTTTGGAGCTGTCATTTTTGCACCATCTATATCAGTGTTTCTCAACCTGGGGGTCGGGACCCCGGGGGGGGGGGTCACAAGGGGGTGTCAGAGGGGTCACCAAAGACCCATCAGAAAACACAGTATTTTTGTTGGTCATGGGGGTTCTGTGTGGGAAGTTTGGCCCAATTCTATCGTTGGTGGGGTTCAGAATGTTCTTTGATTGTAGGTGAACTATAA